TAACATTATAGTTAACAATCTGACCAGCGCCTTCCTTATTTAAATAAAATACTGTATTGCATTAGTGATCGATGAGAAATGAAATCAACTTTTCGAATATGCCATTATGCTTATTTGTTATTTGGTGTGTCCAATGTTTTTTTCAATATGTATCAACACATTTTTACAAATAGACTACAGGATGTGAAATCTTTATACGACATATTCTCTATCATTAAAAACTATACCTTGAAAATTAAGACTACGTAAGCAAACAGACGTACAAAATATGTATCACATTCACATTCACTCGAATATAATAGAGGGCGACAAACCTGCTACTACTAAACAGGCACATGTGCATTGGCATTGGTGGAGGCTACTGATTCAATGATTGGATGGTACCTATCTTCACGTGTACACGCCACAGGACCGAATTAAACTGCAACCATATAGGAGGCCGCTGATTGGTAGATTGAGTGTGCATATTATGTTGCAGTGGCTCGTCACAAAATAAATTTATCGTGTGGTTACACATGCCTGATTTTCGATTAGACATTTGTGTTTTATGTTGAGTTGAACCAAATATGTGGAAAGTACGTGCATGTGCTGGTGAACTGTCTACTCCAGTGTGTCTGCGTGATACTGCCAACGCCATCCAGGTTCACCATATCATACAAGTGTTCTTTGGAAAGTCTTCACGACAAAAACCTGACCATGCGTACTGCGTCGTGGCCAATCTTCGACCGAGGCAGTGAAATACGTCAGTGAATCGTTGTGTAGACTGGGGAGCACTATTCTATATAAAAACACTTTAATATATTTAGGTGACATTTATGTATGCTAATTAGTTAATCATAAAGAGGCCACACAACTCATTATAATCGTATCTAATTATTATAAATAATATAAAAATAATAATAGGATTTGCCAAAATCAGTACAAATATGGTAATACATGTAGTTACATGAATTATGTATGACCTATGTAGTTTGGTAATGACGTTGTACTTCCATAAATACTAATTTGCATAATGCAAATTCCAAATATGTTATTTTGTCATAATTAGTGACGTACAAATAGTGTAATTAATAGGTATACATTTCAGAAATGTATGAATAATAAGTTTTATCACATGATTATGGTACTTATTATTCACAGTTGTGAAGCTTAGTGTGAAATATTGTTGTAATTGAAATGTATATCACATGTATATCAAATGTATTATGTGTGTTTCATCACAAGTTGATAGAATTGTTTTCATTACTGCGATAGAAGAAAATCTGGTTTTGGTAAGATGTTGATGCATTTTGGCCGTTTCCTGACTATGTCTCAGGGACAGCAAATAAAGAATACAATATATCATTGCAAAATCTAAGATGAACCTGCATAAAAATATAACGTAATTAAACTAACAGTTTTCAAGAAGAAGTTAATATTAGTTTGTTTACTAAAAAATATTCAATTAAAACAAACGAATCTTAGATGGGTTCAATCCAAATAACTAAAAATATAAAGACATTGGATTAGTTTTCAAGAAGACAAACGGGAATAACAATCTTCATAATAGGTACAAAACTGAGGGATTAAATCAAAGCAATTACACTAGCGTTTAAAAAAAAAGGAATTTACTTACTAAGGCTTGTCGAAGTATCCATGTATCCATAATGTTTTTTTTTTAAATATGATTGATTACAAATAAAAGCTTAATTGCAAGTAATTGCAAGAGGTAGGAAATTTATCTGGTCATCTGAATACTGTTAATATCAAGGATTTGGTCCTATGTAAAGCCCTTGTTCGTTTTTATTTTGACCTTTGCCAATTTACTCTAGTTGACAATGTTAGAATGAAAAAAGTGTGATATTGTCAATATTGATAATTCGTCATTTTTGTGTGAAAACAGTTTAATTCCTTGATGGTTTTCAGTGATATAAATTCAAATACATGTAACGAATTAGCACTTTGCAAGGTACGACGAAACTTTGATCTCCACTGATGAACTTAAATGATATTTTCCTATCTGGATAAAGACAATAATGACTCACCAACATACAAGACGTGTATACTTCATATAAGTGGATTTTAAAATGTTTATCTCAACATAATGAACATACTGTTGTGAACACTATGTTGTGTTCGGGAACTGTGACTCGCCTGGATGATAACACTTACACGTAGAGATACCGGATTCGACCCAAAGGAATACACATTAGTTCATTACAAAAAGTCCAGTTTTATTCATCCAAACGGTCAGCTGAGGTAACGCCTCGCTGCCCACTTTACTCTCCTTCCCTCTCTTACAAATATTACAAACTCTATCCTAGTTCTGTAAGGCTTGGCAGAGTAAACATGAGGTTAGTCAATCGCTACAGTCGTTGGCACGATCTCGTGGTTACCAGGGATGTGTCTCACGGTTAAAGCATTGCGTAATTAGTAAACAATCTATTTATCAAATTCCTGCATATGTTTACAATGTTCACTCCAAACTTGCAAGCTGTTGATTCTAAACAATTTTGCAATCTTATGTGAACCAAATGTACGTACGTGATGCCATTGATAGCATTACACTTGTTTTAAACCTGGCCACGTAATGAGTGAATATAAAACAATTAACATTTACCATCGAATATCGCAGAACTTTGTTTCCAGTACTACTAGTTGCATATGATAAAGGTGAATAGCACCAATGATATGATAACAATTAGTATATTATCTATATATAATGCTTCACATTTTTCAATTTATATAAGTTGAATGGGACACGAAGGTTAGCAACTGTTAACCCCTTAAACCGTTTCTAATTGATGAATATAGCCCAAATGATATAGAAAAAAAATTGTCATAATGTCTGTCACAAATTGAGAAATATATAATTCCGTAAATCGTAGTATATTCAATTTTATTCGAGACTTGAGACAGTAGCTTTTTCCAATAACCTTGCAGTCATTGGCGATCCAGGTTTTAACGCGTCTCGTTCATACAGAAGGCTCCTATAGAATAAAGAGTACAACGATTAGTAAACACACCATTTACTTTGAACACTACCTCCAAGCTATAAAAAATACTTTGCATGATCTTTAAACGTTTTTGCTTAGCGTAGAGAATCACGTGCGTGCATGATCGACGCTGCGCAGCGGACGGCGCACTCTATTCGCGCTTTGGACATGAAATGCGGTATCACCCAACACACTGACGGTGTCTAATTAATAAAAGCGGTCAAAGGACAAACTGCTCTCTGAATTCGTAGCCAATATTGCCTGATTGTAAGTAGTTTCGCGGCATTGGTGTCCCATTGTACACTCGATTAGTGCGACTTTCACACCATTTTACATGGAATTGAAGATTCGTTCAACGCTGTGGGTTTTATAAATAGAGTTTTTACCTTGCAAGTAGTTGATGTTCCATTTCCGGTGACTTCAATGCGGAATGAATGAGCATCAGGTTAAACAAATCTCTCTGGGTAAAAACAAACAACGTATCTTACCATCAAATATTCAATTTTGTGTGCGACTATGGAAAATATTTAATAAATCAACGATAAAAGCACAAAGTCTACCACGTCAAATAAAGTGAAAACATTCACTGTCACAGACAGTGTTCGGTTAATGATATTGATTTATTTTGTGGCGCATTTTGTAGCATGATAACTAAATTAATCATTGTAGTAAGCTCTCGTGGCACAGGGCAGTGTCAATTACATTGCTACTAGAAAATGAGACAATTGTCAATTAATGGAATAAGCTGTACCTGTGCGTCACTTCCAGTGATTTGTAGTGTACTGTACCTCACAGGATTAAACGTGTTCACCACCTTAGCAAAATCACCACAGTGATAGGCAATTAGTGATTCACAAATTGGTATTCCTGCTTTCTTGAATGCTTTGGCAACAGTGTGGTCCTTACTTGTGCTCCTATGAAACAAGTAAATCAACAATGTTGCGCAAGAAGTATATGTATATCATAACCGCGAATTAGAGAATAGTATACCAGTTAATACCAGAAAATTGTCATTTATTTAATAACTAATGCACTGATGTATAGAATCGGATAAGCAATGGTGTAATTATTCGTCCTTTTAATTATAGTAATAACATACTGGTAATAATGTTCGACATTTATTATATCATTTTACTCTAAATTTAATAATACGTATTTTCACCTAATAAAATTCCGTATTGATTCCAATAAATCATTTGCAATCCCTTGTTGTTTTGCTCCCAATGCGGCGATCATGAAGTGAACATCATTGAACACCAGAGCTTGATCTTCCACGTGAGTTTTAATAAAATTAAAAACTTTCAACCATCTTGACCCGACATTGACGCCTTAAGTAAAATATAAATTTGCATTTATGAAATTTATAATATTAAATAAAATATCACTGTACAATATTTACAAATTTAGAGATAAAAAAGACAATCTATAATTTCAAGGTCAAGAAAATTATAAACTCGCGGACACGCATAATATATAAAACTATAAATTTGATAATCTTTCATAGTGTATAGATTGTGTACTTTGCAACCGTGTATGTACAAACCTTCATATTCCAATCGTTGGAGGAAAGCGGCTGCATCTGTGACATCTAACATAGCCCCACTGTCTATCTTAGAGCCAAGCTTTTACAAAATGATAAATATGACACCAATTATACACTAACAGCTAAGGTATCAGGTATCAAGTTGTCATGCAATGTGGATAATGTATCGTTGTTGCGTATTCACAATGGTTAGTATTTACACCATAGTTTGAGCGGGGAAATGTTAATATAAAACAAGTTTGGAATAACTGATTTAATAATAACTGATTTAATTTTAATTGAACATCCTATAATTATTGTCCATCACCCTGAACATTAGAATTAAATTAGTTTGATGGATGATTGCGTTGTTGAACAGTTTTATATCAGCATTTATTTATTTAGCAAATATTTATCCGATTGAACATGTGTATACCCACTCATACTATCATTTCCTGTCAACAGGCTGAAGCTCATTTACAAACACGGAAATGAGGGACAACACATCTCGAGCATATACATGTAATGAGAAGAATACAGCAGTTATTCCGCAGAAACTGCTACTCCTTGCGACAAGTACAACTGCATCTTTTACGTGCACTGATAAAGGGAACAATAAACAGTTTTACGTCCCATCCAAAAGGTAGTCATTCTCTCGGTTACGAATGCCGAATCATTGTAAGTAGGTAGAATATACTCTTTTGCAATATTGAATGTGCAGCCAACCAGGGGAGTAGAACTCAAAATCTCCCTGATGATAGTGGACAAGACTAACTATAGTGCAGTACATCAGATAATATTCATAAGTTTACCATGGATCGGGTGGAGTTATTGTCCGGGTAGTGGTAGTTTTGGTTTCAAATAATTTGAGCAATTCAATGGCTATTGCGATCGTCTACATTTGGAATAACGTGTGTCAGAATAATTACTTACATATTCATCATACAGACTTAAAGCTGCTTCGTAATCACCCTATATGCAAGAAAGACAAAAATAACACAAAATGTCATCGACTGACACTCAGTATCGTAAATAATGTTTACTTGTATTGGTACACGTTGCATGTGCCTATCAACAAATACGTGACGAGATCTGTATACACAATAATGCAAGATTGGGCTATGTTACTTGGAGCTATGCATCATCAAAGGGGCTCTGCTTAAAACCATGTGTCGCTCTAAGCATGTGATTAGCCTGTGAGTATGAATATGGAAATATTCTAATGGTACAAAAGCATTTAGCAGAGACAGCAGAAGTGGGGTTCACATTCAGTGTCATTTGTGAGTTCCCTGGATAGTTGCTACTAACGACGACAATGAAGAGAACGCCTAAACATTGAGGCTGTCCAAGCTAATTGACAGGGCATGTAGGCATTACAGTTTGGCAGGGGTATGACATATTTGTATTAATCTGCAAAACGATAAGATAATGGTGATCCTGGTCTGACAGTCCGTAATCATGTACTCTCCTGATGTAATTGCAATCCTGTGCATGTAAAAATGTTGTGTGCAACCGACTCCACTGCCAAAAAGCGAGAGAAATGTGGTCAGCTCCCTCCTTTTGAAAGTTATGATATGGTCATGGTGTAACTGAACAAAATATTGCTAGCTGCACTTCCAATTCTCCGCCAATAAAGGCAATGGCTTCACGTATTTGATACATACAAGAAATCTATAGACAGAGTTTTGAATCCGGCTATAAACTCAATTTGTAAGTTCTTGAACATCGCACCAGTACAGTAAATTTTATAAACTGTTAAGATCTGAATGTTGGCAAATTTGCTCCATTCGATTATTGAAAAATCAGTTTCCTACCTTTTCAATATAATAAAGGCCCAAATGCCAATATACATGACCCTCAAATGCGTGTTTCTGAAAGAGAATTAGCAATCGTTACTATCAATAGTTACTCGGCATTATTCGAATGATTGAAACATCAAACCGCAGTGCATAATTAAACAATACATAATGCATATCAGAGAAAGCACACACAATATACCAAATGGTTCTAGTGAATATAAATATCTTTATGTTAATCACCTGATTGTTATGAACTGTGTCATTAAGATAACGTATACCTTCATCATATCTGCATTGCATCTCCATTACATGGGCTAGTGTATGGTTAGCAACGCCATCACGGGAATTCAGTTCTAATGACTGCAAAAAAAGACTGCATCCTGCAATTACTTTGTGCTGCTCTAAGTGATTTGGCTATCTACTGTGATATATTCGTTAAGTACCAGTCATTTGTTTTATGTTTAGGACTTGAAAATTCAATTTGATGATTACATATATAAATATCGTTTGTGTACGTTCTTATTGCATGGATAGCATATTCATCGGGAGAATATTTACTACATAAAGGCTATTTCACAAGGTTTCAATGAAATTTTAGCTTTTATATATATATATATATATATATATATATATATATATATATATATATATATATATATATACCTGTTGACATTCTTTTTCCGCTTCATCGAGGAAGTTTGTCTCTTCCAATCCAAAAGCATGCCAGCTCTTCAAGTACCTGGTATGAAATAAAATGCACCTAGTTTAGGGTAAGTTTTTCAAAAACGTAGAAAAATTCGAACTATCTAATTTAAATTTGCGCAATATGATGACAATACAAAACAATATATAATTGACGATGTCATGGAGTGAAAAAAGTACAGATCAGGGAAGTGCTGTAACTTTAAACCCATGTGCACGTTGGTTATATGAAAATCTACGAAATACGTTTAACAGTGTGGGCTATGGCTATAATGAAGGCAAGCTGGACATGTTGACTCAATTAAATAATCAACAACATCAACAAAGTCAAAAATAATGTTATGGACTAATGAGTCAAACGTGAACAAACATTCATATGAGCGTTTTTCACCACAGATGGATACCACACAGTCCAAAGAATTCCTTCAGTATTATGTATATTATTTGAGTAGATATGAACCTAAGTTACTAATGTCACTAATGTTGAATATAAAAAGCGTTTTTGCTGGTTTCCAAGAAGAAGTTAACAGTATCAGACAGGCAAACATTTGCAGGTATACGCCATGTGCGCTGTGTTTTACACTTACCCATACATGCTTTGTGATATTTTTCCTGACTTCCAGAAGGGCATTAGACGTGCAGCACAATCTCTGTACTGTGCCATTTCACCTCGATTGAAGTAACAGTCGATGGCGAATCGAAAAGCCAACATATCAGTTGGTTGCTGCAGCAATATATTTTCCCATGTATCACTTGCCCCAGTAAAGTCCCTATAATATGATGAATAAACATGGTCACCAATTGTTTCTGTCATACCCTACTCAAATACTAAGTATTTCAACTTTTTAAAATCATCACATTATTTTATCTCGTTGCAATATCCGAGTAAATATTTCTGCTCTATGTGGTTGTATATGACATCAGCAAATTGGCGGGGCGATTTGCCGTGTTCCTGTGCTTGACAATGTTGCGTGTTTATCACATGTCGGTAATATGTGTGTAATTTATATCTGTACTCACCCCTCCGAATACAACTTAACAGCCTTAATGTGTAACTTTTCTTTCCATGTTATCATATCATTATTCGCGCTTTGAGCCATTTTTTCAATATTGCTTTTTAGTTCAGGGTTATTCCATGTGGATGTTGTACTGCCAAGTAATGTGAGACCATTTGATATAATTTGACCAAAAACTACAAAGAGACAAATACCGACTTAACTCATAATTTATACGAATCAAAATAATAGTATATATTTAGTATCGTGTATATACACACTATAATAATTCTGTCAATCAACATGTGGACATTTGTCACCTTAGTTAATAACAGGAATCTCTTACCAAAATTGGGGTCGGCGGCTGTCATTCTTCTGATAGCACCGTCTATTCCACCAACACTGTCGTCAGAAAACCCACTCATGTACTAGAAACAGAAATCGATGCATGAAAATGTGAACTCCAGAAAAGCGTCTATAATTGGTTTTATAGGGAAGATATGTGATTGGTTGAGAGGTTTTGATGTCAAAAAAGAAATTTTATAAAATATATACCTGTGTGACTATTGCATCATACATTTTAGCAGCTTCATTGCTCGTAGTTGACAATGGGAGTCCTATATCTTCCCATTCCTGAAAATAGATAGTAAAACTTGAATATACTATAGTTACGATTGATATATTTGAATATTATATTTAACGATAATATTTGAAGATATTATTGTATTTACTATTATTTTCGAGGCGCATCAAAAATAACACCACTGCCAATACCTGAACAATGTGGGAGGGGTAAATATTTACTGAACCGGAACACGGTTGCATACATGTAGGTCACAGGAGAGAGGTCAAAAGTTCTTAACTAAAAGTATTATTCGAATCTGAATTACTGCACTTATTACGATCGTTGCAAATCGATCGACACAAACCGTATTACCCTAGTAAGTACACACTTTTTGAAGTATCACAGTAATGATAAGAGTACTTTGGTGACGACACAGGCCAGCTACGACGCGACGGGCCGATCAAACTCCATGTTTTCTCAAAGGCAGGTGACCAAACAATATACCTAGTAGCTCGCAATATATTATGTCACAGTATTGTGAAAGTAAACTACGTAAATTACCTCCAATCATTCCAGCTCATGGCGTCATCTGAATTTATCGCAGCTGGCCAGGGTTTCAAATTACGCATGCGCACATGACTACAAACAAAAATCGTGGAAGAATTAATAATATTTTATTTTACTTCATACATTCGCAAAACAAATTTTCGCTCTGCAGATTTGTGATAAAATACCATTAACATTTTAGCTCTTCGAACTCTCGTCGTCCCATATCGGGCGATGTTCAATCGAAAAAATACATTTAGTACGCAATCTATTCATCAAATTCCAGTAGTCTATATTTATAATATATATTCTAAACATGCAGGTTGCTGGTTCTAAACAATACTACTGCAATGGCTTGTGAACCGAATGTACATACGTGATGTCATTGATGCAGTATACTGGGAAAACATGAAGACTCCTCCCCCGACAAAGCCCAACAACACCATTCACTCACGGCGCAAGGGGTCGATCAAATTCTATGTTTATTCAAACACAGGTGACCAGAGGATATGCCTAGTAGCTCACGAGATAGTACGTCACAGAATTGTAAAAGTAAACTATGTAAATTACCTTACAATCTTTCCATCTCATAGTGACCTCTGAATTTATCGCGGCTGACCAGGGTGTAAAATCACGCATGCGCACATATAGACCGATCTGAAACGGCTATTGCTTAAAGGTGTGAATCGGGCCAGATCTGAAACAGTGCGCGATATACCTTTGCGTGAAGCATGCTCAGCTGATCACTGTATCCTGTTTGCTGCACACCGCGCTCTCTTGTCCGTTTCAAAAGTTAAACGTTTTCCATTCCGTCGAAGCTAGTTTTTTGCTGATTCATTAATCGCTATTGAAACTGAGGGCACTGAAGGTAACTCAAGTTTTGTATGGCTAATATATCGCTGAAATTGCTGGCAAGGTTTAGAGTAAATGTTTTTATAATGCCGCGAAAACGAAACGTTTTTCAAAAATAGTCTATTTTCATTGTTAGAAATGGAGTCCCTTCTCTACGTTTTGTCCCGGTTTAAATACATCGTTCTGTAATCGGTAGTATCTATCGATTTGGTATAGTTGTGTGTTTTTTTGTCCATACTACAATCGGTTCAATTCAGTGTTTTAATATCATAGAATTGAAGTTTTTGCGCTTTGTTCACGATTGTGTGTTGTTTGAGGACGTCATCTTAATCCCGAGTATTAGGGATTTCAGTCACATGACCTTCGGGATCGGACAGTGTGTGGCAGTCACTATGCCTCAAGTTTAATAATAAATGGTTCAAAAATTATATGAGAAAAATGAAGGCAAAACTTGTTGCTGCCACTCAGGTGGGTGAGTCAATGATAGAAAGTGGACAGAACTGCTTACATCAGAATGGAACAAGCAAATTCTAAAAAACACTACAAAAGATACCAGCGGACTCCCTCCAGTGTCACAGACACTTGGGTTGTGTGAACTTTCTGGTGGCGCTACTACTGGTGCGTTTTCTTCATTTGAAGATGCCATTGCTGAAATTGCTGAAACCATCTCACATAAAACAACAAACACGAAAATGAAAGTTTCTGGACTGGTCATCTCAATCAAAAGCACAATGTCAAGCTAAAGGCCAACATCGGGGACTTTCAACAACGAACTGCGAATACTACCAATAGTAACTGAATATTGGAATAGAATATCTGATACAAATACATTACAGCTTACGAAGATGCTAAACTTTTTTGCAAAATACATGTGCTCCCAAATTTTAATTATGAATCGGACATAGTTCACAAGCTTTTTGGGAACATCGCATTGGAAAATTAACAAGCAAAGGCCATTGCCATAGTCCGCCAATTAAATTTTCACAAAATTATGCTCAAGTTGAAAGGGAACATAGAACTATTTCAACAATCTCACAAAGGTGTACAGTACACCAATGCAGAGTTGGAAGAACACTTGAAAGAAAAATAAAAATAAATCAAGGAGTTATTAGCACTCCCCAGGATAATGCTCCAAACTCTGCAGTACGTCCACCTCGTACGAGAGAAGTTGAGTTTCGTTTGCAGAAGCAGAAACTGGATGCAAAACTTCATGAGCTGCGAAGAAAGCGTCGAATCAAACGACAGAAAGAACTGTTACGATTATATACAAATTACCCACAGTTACTAGTCAACAAAAGATGTATCATAGAGGGTACAAGTGATCTGGAAAGCTTTTCTGCCACTGTCATTGAACTTGTTTAACAAGTGAATACAGAATAAAGTATGAAGAGGAGAAGGATGAAACTACATAAAATTCTCCATTATTGTCAGATTTTAAGACACAGATTTTAAGGACCACTTTGAAGATGTGTAAATTGTAAAGTGATAAACCATGTGAACTGTCTCATATATATTATATACATTCATTTTGATATTTGGTATTCATTAACAGCATGTACATTTAGCAGTGTATGAGATTATTATATTCTGATATTTTTTTACTAATAGTTTCATCCAAATTGTTCTGGAATAACCAAAAATATGGGTTGTAAAAGTATTCAAAATATAAATTTTGTTGCGTTGGTAAAATATTTTAGATTGTCGTATACATTCATTCAAATTATCGTATACATTCATTCAAATTATCGTTTCCCAGTGCACAACTGCAGCAAGTTTCATCCAAATTATTTTGGTATAACTAAATATTTATGGGTTATGAAAGTTAATGTATTCAATATATTAATTTTGTTGTTGTTTTGTTTGAATATTAATTTATTCAAACAATACAGTTTGTTGCATGATATTTGAGACTAGACAGAATACTGATAAATTATTTTGCAGTACATACATTTAGCAGATTGTTCTGCTTGTCAATGTGGTATTTTATTCTCAAATATTTATATTAATAAGTGGTTTGCATGGATACAGGCATTCCAGTTTAACACAATGTTCAAATTGTACTCATGTAAAAAGTTACTTGATAAACTCACAAAAATGTTGTTTCAATTTATTAATATTAATATAATATGGTATACTAATATCGTGACTTCATTATGCAATTTAGTTAAGAAATAGCGAAGTTACACAAGATTTGTTTTTGTTCTACCATTAGTGTAAATAAGTGTCTGAAATTGATTGAGTCATAAAAGTGCTGTAACTTGTCAACAAGATCTCCGACTTAGATCGTGTAAGGTGCACTGTACTGCTCTTGTGGTGAGCTATAGTGTTCATACATAATTTCCCCTTACAAAAGTATGCGTCAAGGCACATTTCCTTATCGTCACTTTGTGGAGAATTACACTCTGTGTCCCAAATATTTGTTGTTTTGTGAGATACAACTATTTAGTAGTTGGTCTGATGTTTTGTATTGTTAAAATTTTGATCATTTGTCTTGTTGATTTCGTTTGAATATGCCGCATAAATTGAATAATTATTGGTGACCGAAAGGATATTATAGGAAATTTGAGAGAAAGGCAAGTCAAAAATTTAGGATGCCGACCAGGCTCTGCTTCAGCACGTTTTAAAGTCAACCACAGGGCAGTTGCTTGTGTGCTGTATCTGATATGATGCTATAGAATACATTATCATTATTTAATTTTATTATGTGTTTTATTTATGTGTTTTTTCTTTATAGCCAACTAGGCACTTTTTTTCTTTTCATGAGACATGTTCCCGATTGCTGTCCATAAATATTCCTTATTGCTTTATTTTTGATATTTCAATAAATGTATTAATTAACAAAATTCAAAAGGTTGATTTTTTCAAACATTGGCTGGGTTGTACTAAATTTTCAAATAAGATGTCTTTATCAAACGATTGGCTGTTGATAGGGACTTACATATGTCTTCTGATATTGGGATGTTCATTTCTTGGAAAAGTGATATATAGAGATGGCATACAGTTCCCGACATATTACAATTTGAAATTACGCCTACTCAATTAAAACTACCAATCACTCATCCTTCACTTCCCTGGTGAACAATTGTACCATAACTCAACTGATCAGAAGTTCAATTAACAAAATCATTACCAATGTTTGCTACATTTCCCTAAGACTTTGTTTACTGCCAGTACTGTTCCCTTGACATTACACATCCCAAAATTGCCAAAGGTAGTTCGATCGGTTTTAGAATTACAGTCAAAATCAATTTACAGGATTAAAAATTAATAAGAAAATATAGGAATGATCAGAATGAAAACAAATGGCTTGTAGTAATAGTAATAATAATAATAATAATGTATTTACTTGTATTGCGCTATTTACAGTAATAACTGATCAACAGCGCATGACATAAAACTACAAACTATACCAAAGAAAGAATCATTACAAATTATATGCTTTCTTGAACAAATAAGTTTTCAAATGTACCTTAAAATCAATAATATTGTTCCATTTTTTTTACACGTTTAGGTAGAGCATTCCACAAACGTGGTCCTATCACCACATGTTACTAAACGTGATAACGGTACAGTAAGTAAGTTTGAAGATGACCTGAGTGTGTACAAAATGTCACATGTGTATGGAACATTTCGATAATACATTTTGGGGACTTGCCGTTGAGGGCTTTGTATACTAACAGCATTAATTTATATACAATACGATTCTTTACTGGAAGCCAGTGAAGAAACATGAAAGAAGGTGTAATATGGTCATATTTTCTTTTCTTCAAAACAATCCTAGCTGCTGCATTCTGTGCCCTTTAGATGATTGGATATTCGTTATACAATACAATAAACTATTGCAGTTATCAAGCCTTGATCCCACAAGAGTATGAACAATAATATCGGTAGTTTTGTTGAAAGATATTTTCTGATCTGGGAATTTCTATACATGTTACCTGACTAACCTGGCATGCCATATTCAAATGTATTACATCACACCCAGAATACGTACATCATTCCTGCCAGAAATTATTATCACTGCTAACATATCACCTTAAACTAATCAGCTGTGTTTATGACTTTACACAACTTTGAAAGATATAAGGCCTGTGTATCATATCATCAAAGCTGAATAATATTCTCACCTTGTTGTTCACATCATTTTGCCCATTACAGGTTCATCACCGTCTGTTTTTTGATTTATTTTGGAAAATAAATCGGACCTACTGAGCGATATAATGTCCAAAGGTGTTCAGATAACAATACCCAACATTACCATTAATGAAACTTTCGATATAAATCTTAGAATATTTAATTTATTTAGAAACAGTTGCGATATATAAACTTCATTTGGCGTGTATGATGTAAAAGCCTGAACTAAAAAACAATAATCATGTTTCATTTTAATGTACAATGTACAATAAACAAATGTTCCGTAATCTGTTTATTTTATTGGCACACTCCACCTGACTCTGAATTAAGTGCTACGTCCTTCGATTAAATTCATGTTCTAGCAAATTACTAATGGTGATTTGCATAATACTATTTCATTTCTTATCATAGTGCAAATGTGAAAGTAGATCTATTGTTATTGCGCCCTCTAAGGTGGAAGAATTAACCATTTTTCTATGTACAAACTCTAAATGAAGTTGTTTTGTTATAATTGTGACTCTCTACATAGGAAGAGTACCTAATTTTCATTAAAATGTAAATCAATTTTTTTTCTGCGCTGTAATATGAAATTGTTTAATACACATGAGAATAAATAATAGGATGTTCGTCACGAATAATCTAGTCACGTTAAAAATGAATTACGTAGTATCTTATGTCATTTGTGTCTGAGTCTGCCCATCATAGTCAAGCACTGATTGTATATACGATGTATGAGCTTTTTCTGTTAGTCTGAACATTCACGTTGTTCATGAAACCGTTATTTCCAAAGTTGCAACATCGCTAGATTATATGCCGCAAAGTGCATGTTATGCCACTCTTTGTTTCCTTTGAGAAAAAAGGCAATATGCAAGCAATTACACGTTAAAGGTAGGATAACGCCGTCTTGAATTAGTTTTCGCGTATCTGTTGACCGACTTATTTAGTTGATTACTAGCGAATTGCTGTGTTATATCTGTCATCGTTTAGGCAGGCGAGGTCCTGGACGGAACTTGGCTCAGTGATTTGGAACTAATTACGAGATAACCGTCGCTATTCGGACTACTATTTCTGACAGTTGGTATCCGTAGTTATTAATGTAGTGAACGATTAATCAAAAGATATAACGTATTCAGTACTTAGTGTGATTGGCTTTATGATTGAAGGTTACGCCCTAGAGTCTTTTTACTGTTTTGTAATTGGTTAGAGTTTTGAAAATGAATAAAGAGAGTTTTGAGTTGATCTTGGCGAGTACTCCACGATAGACGCAGTCTAAGTCGAGTCCTGGAGAGTCTTGGGCGAGTCTTGAGTCAGCCTTGCGATAGTCTTGGGGATTTTTTCCCTGGGCGCTGTGTCTTATAGAGTGCTCGACTGATCGACTAAGACTTAAGTTGAAACGTATTTTGTTGTGTGTGTCTTATTTGACTGTAAAGCTTAAGTGACTTTCCCGATCCCGCACCTCAAGGGGACGAGATATAGAGACGAGACGAGTTTCCCCCCTGACAAGTGTGGAGA